TGACGAGGTGTGTAAAACTGACAATGTTTCAGTTTCATTTGATGGAGTGATATGTAAATGTTAGCTGGATACAGGCTTTTCTCTTTCAGGTGTGCTCGTGGAATTCTTCATTCTACTGTAAGGTAAAGTCTATCTAGTGCTTGACAAAACATATCCAACTTGTAAAGTGTGTTCACATCAATGTGTCACCTGGATGAGACAGACAAACATTCTCTTGCTGTGCTGATTTCTCTAGATATGCTTAAATATATGTTACAATTACAAACAGGTCAACAATGTGGCTGATGTTTTATTGAAATGGATAAAGAAAAAAATTCACTTGTACTGAAATTTGCATCTGTGAATATATACATGTACAAGATCGTATCCTTGATAAAAGGATCAAATTGCTTCACAAACCAATGAATATTATATTTGTCAAACGAATAAATTAGCTTCATATTATAATGTAGTCAAGTTGTAGACATCAGAAACTAATAGCTTCTTTATATGGCATTTTAAATAAAATGAAGATATATATAAATATACATGTATCTTTCTATCTATCCACCTATTTGCCCCTCACACACACACACACACACACACACACACACACACACACACACACACACACACACACACACACACACACACACACACACACACACACACACACACACACACACACACACACACACATATTGTGTCTTTTATTGCAGCACATATGATCCCTAATGGAATCAGGTGGACTTGCTGACTTTGTTGATGCAAGTCATCCCAGTTGAGTAGATTAATTAAAACCACACGTCAGTCACTGGATTGTGTGGTCCAGTTATGTATATACAGGCTGCTGTCTTATAGCCTGAATACTGTGGAGTTAAACAAACAATGACAACAGCCACCTCATCCCAACTGACATCAAGGTGAGGCATACACTGAACAACTTTACACAGGGACTGTCTGCGCTTAATGGATTGTCTTCAAAGTAATTAAACGTAAATCTGAAGGCAAATAAGTATGTTTAAAGTCTGCTCTTGTTGCACTAGATTTGAATGTAGCAAACAGTGATATCAAATAGAAGCAACAAAACCCTTTCCACATCCATAAGAAACTTCTGCTAAAAGCAGAGTCGTTTGTACAATTGTGACTATATCATGAGTATTTGTTTCAACAGTATTACAGCTGTACGATGTTGTTTATGAACAATCAGGTACCTCTGTACCTCAATTGTAACATTGTGTCAAAGACAACAAAATTTTACTTGTAGAATTATTACTGTTTATCATTAAACAAGTAAACTTAATCTGTGTTTTCGTGATCATATTTCTGTTAGTGACTGAAAACATCCTAAAAAATACAGTAATTGATTTATTAATCAATTAATTTATTGAATATATATACTTTAGCATGTGGATTCTACTTTATATTTACTTCATTGACATAATTAAATATGCTAGATGAGCTGACAATAGAAATTAATACACACTAGTCATATTAGTATTAGCAAAGCGAGTTCATCTTCTTTTATAAGTTCTTCATTAATGAATTAGAAATAGAAATCTGATGTATGAGCTCTTGTTTTAAATATATTGTTTCTATCCATATTACCATGCCTTGACAATATACTTACGTGACTCAAATTGTCCAGTGTATTGCGTCACATGGTGCTATTCACAATGGACTTTGAAATATTTCCACATTCCAGTAATCAAACAATTCATTACTTTTTGTCATGCATTTCTAGTTTTCCAGAACTGTCAGCTCACAAACAAAAAAGGCTCGTTGCGTGGATACCATAAAATTGCATTGCATGTTAAAAATTAACATTAAACAGCTTCAGAGAGCAGTTCATCAAGTATACTTTCACAGGCCATATTGGTTTGTAAAATGATTCCCTCTTTAACACAAAAACCTATGTAGAATCATTATTTCAGAATGCAGGAAGATATTAGTCTTAACATTTCTTTGTTGAAGAATTTCAGCAAGTATGAAAAATACAATTTCAGATCACCTAATGTTTTCAGAAATTTACAAATCTTCAAGTATACATAAGCCAACTTAAAATTAAGTCATTATGCCTTCCCAACAAACAGTATGGAACAGAGCTTGGTTAAAGTTATCAAGTACATATTCTATGTGTTCTCCGTCCACAGAAAGTCTGACAATTGTGCTGCAGTTGACAAGTGATGGACTTACCTGTAAACACACACAGGGGTGCACCTGTTAAGAAGACAATAATGTGTCGGGGAGGAGAATACAGAGACGTACACGTGTTCCTGACAGTAGCAACATGTGTCATCTGTCACCTCCACTCAGGAAGTCAGGCATTGCAAACATGGCATACTGTTTCTGGGAAATTGATGACTACACATCACTCTCAAAGGATGCTTCCTAAACAGTACTGCACTCAGTTGTATGTTTAATTCTACATATTATCTTATTTTTCTCTAAGCATGATTCTAAATATACAGAATCTTTTACATAATCATTGACGGCAAAGGACACAGAACCCATAAAGGCTGGACATACATGAAGCATTTTAGCATGCTATAAGCTATGTACTGTTTCCAGGTGGACATCTGACTTGCCTGTGCATGTGTTTGTGATACATGCCACCTGTGAGGAAGGATACACTTCACAGCCATATACTATTATATAGTCAAAACTGTATTCAATCCTGCATTTTTTCAGAGATTTCTTTTGATTGTAGAAATGTTTTGTAGCTTCTATGCATATTAATTTCCTACAAATATCCATTTCCCACAGAACTAAAAGTGACCAAACCCTTTCCACTCTCACAGGAACCCTCTTCCAAAACCAGTCAGTTCAACAACTCCAGCTAGCATGGTTATAAACCATTCAGTTTAGACATATTGATAGTTACAGGTAAGGAATACACTTCCTAGTATACAATCATACTATCTCTACAACTCACTAGATATTACTTCAGCAAAACAGATTCTGTGGGTAACATCTTTCACAGATCTGGTATTTGAATGTCTGGTGCTATAAACAATAGTGTTTGACTGAGTCAGACACTGGTTCAAGGTTCTTCATCCATCACCCTGGTGTACAAAAGAGAAATGCGATTTATGGACAAACTTCGCCTATGGACAGCAGTTCTTGGGTCACTGGTATAAGAACAGAGAAGGGGTGAAGGAGTTGGCTATGATGTGCTTATGTTTGGAACAATGCCCCTTTGCTGAAGAAACATTACCTATCTCTATAAACAAGGTCTCTTGACGTGGAAGGTTATCATGTGGTGATTAAACAAATTTGAGGTTTAAAGTATAATACACAGCTTTAGGAATATATAACAGTTAGTCGACTCAATGGACTTAGTAAACTGATATGAACATGAAACTGGCAATATTTAAAATGTTCTTGTGCAACAATTTAGTGGGAGTTTAGTCGTTCATATGGAATCCAGTTTTCTGGCATCCATCCTTAAAGCATATGACAGCAATACCGTTTGAATTTCTCTAAGACACTGGGGCTTTCCTTGTCATCATCCTTGTGAGAGAAAATGAAACTTCTACAAAACAATCATTATCTACAAAACAATCAGTATCTACAAAACAATCAGTATCTACAAAAACAATCATTATTCCTTATATAAGCAAACACCTGACAGGTTGTTGAGACCAGGTAACATCACATATGTAGTGTAAGAATATGCTACTGAAGAATATTTCAGATCTTGTCAGGAAATAGCCAAGAAGAAACACATCCCTCTTTTGAACAGTCAGAGAGGATTAACATTTACCAAAGTATTAGTAGTAGTACTTATCATTGTTTAATTGAAACTGAGAAAGTCAATGTAACTGATAAAGAGCTTCACATCATATCTCTTCTGATACACAAAAGTTCTGAACAAGTCACATACCATTATGTGATAACCATTATCTTGATAACCATTATCATGACATTGTATTGATAACATTAATTTAACCATGTCTAATGCCAAACAATATTGCTAATATATTTCTCTGAAAGTATATCATACTTGCCTTATATGCTGAATGATAACTGATGGAAATGCTGCATGTGTCAGCTATTCAGTACATTCTTCACAATATTTCTTCCATAAACACCATGTTGTATTTAGTACAGCTTTTCCCAGGCAATACTCTAACAGTAACATATGTTTCAGATTATCCATGAACATCTCGAAACATACAACTCATGTAAATACCACTAACATTTTCACAATTTTCTTTTACATCTCTGAAAATATATTATTCCAGTCTCAACTAATATCACCAATAAATATTCAAGTTCTTTCTCTGAGGTGTACAAATGTATATTAACTTTGTCAGGCATGTATCATATACATCTGTTGTTCAGGGGTAACATCAATATTCAGGTTTTTAATCAGAAGAATTACATTAAAGAATATGCATTTATTTTAGTTAAACTAGTTAAAACATACCATTGCTTATGTGCATGTATAACAATATGACAGAATACATACCAATTCTCTCTTATCAGAACATGCATAAATGTACTAGTTCCCATTCACAAGTATCAAAATGATATCCAAATTTCCATTCAGATCCCTTAAACAGCAACAACATTTTATTAAATGATATTGTTAAAAAACACCTGTTTTTTTCAGTGTAAAATAATTTCACACAATTAAAGAACATTTCCTGTTATTTGTATCATATTTAAGAAGCGTAAGTGCATGCTTCTTTTCTTTAAAAGAAATAATGGTTTCAAGTATTTTTCTCACCTCTTGAAGGATTTCACCTTTTTGCAGTCATATTATAGTTTAACACTGATACAACATGCAGCTCAACTCCATTGACAGTTCATTGTCTCTATCACATTTATCTGAGAAATATTTCATAAGTTCATACAAAATGCTTGAATAATCATTCAGAATCACTAAAACTATCTCTATTAACCGATTCCATTTTATTAAAAGCCTAACTTATACAATAATATAGGAGTACATGTGTGTTCTGTGATATCGGACTTGACTACTGAGATGTACTCAGTTTGAATGTACAACTTACCTAGCACAAGCAATACATCCATGAGAATTCACACATTATTCCTATTGAATTCCCCCATGAGTTATCCATATTTAGTTTCTCCCTCAATGCAGCACGGACTGATATGAATCGGATCTCTCACACCATAATCTGTCAGTCTCTCCAGATCGCTTGTACTTGGCACTCCTAATACTGACAGTATGATAACAGTATAGACTTTGTCACATGGGTGTCGGATGTCCAGCATCAAACAACACCAACAGCAGCAGGAACAACACCTAATTCCCACACGCAGGTTTCTTGCTGCTGGTAATGTCGTGCTGGAGCTGGAGCATGTTTTAGTCAACTGGTGTGAAAACTTTGTGCGTCAGCGACTGTCCATCTTCTGTGTGCCCCAGTAATCCAAATGGGAGCCCCTGAATCTGTGTTTTCATTTACAGGGTCAATGGTGGCTTACAGAAGTATTTCCGCGGGACCACAGTGGACCGTGTCGCACATGGATGCTCTAACTATAGACTGAACACACTCCCAACACGCCTTTCAATCTGAGGCTCTCAACTGCTGGGGCACGATATGGACACGCAGTATTGTCAAACGAGATTTTCATACATGGATGCCCGCTCGCCTGCTGACACTCAAGTTATTCCAACCTCTATGCCCCAAAGTCACGAAAGGGAATACTTACTTCACCATTTGTATTCAACTCTCATTGAAGTTGAGGACTATAATAGACGCCATGCAGTCTTTCCCTTACTGTGTCATATCAAAAAGATAAATAAGAAATAACAGTTTTAAACATAAGCCTTTCTTTATATTCTGTTCTTACCAAAGAAGACTGAATAATTTTTACCAAATTGGTTTTCAAAATATATTGAAATTCATTTACAGAAACCAATGAATTAAGGATGATAAATTCATGCATGTTGTTGCTTCGACATACCAAAGCTGCTATACTTCATTAACCCAATTCACTTTAACTAAAATGGGTAATATTCTGAAATATCACTAGGTCCTTTTGATTCCTTTATAGCCTAATGTCTGAGATGCTCTACTGACTCCAACATTACACTGAATACCACTCCATCTTCACCAGTGCCTATACCCCCTATGCAGTTATACTTTTAAATGATCCATTTGATTTCAACACTTTATTAGCACAAATGCCTATTCACCATCACCACATATACACGTCACCTAACGTTACATACTTTCACAAACCCAACAATCCATCAGTCCACACTGTTCGGACATGTATGACATATATACCAAGAACACAAGAGTCTTGCATCAAACCAACACCTACTAACGATATTGGATATCTTAAAAGCCACACTCAAATAAGACAACAATGATGGCAGATTCAAGTTGAAAATGAAATTTATTGAAGACATGTTGACCATGCATTTTTCCATCCCCTACCCCATGAATCTGTACTACAAGCCGTAGAGCTGAGGAAACCATGGCAGTCAAACCTCTTCATATACCCCATTCACGAGGGTCGACAAAGCATAGCTGTAAAGCTGGGTCCCAAATACATCCCCGCCAAATTACACAGGGGCATCCCCCTTGCTTTCATCCCTGCCCCTCTCTTGTCTCTCTCTCCCCTAGGCTTCAGTCTACCTGAGCACTCAAGTGTGGCGGAGAGAGCCATGACTCAGAGGTTCCACATGGATGGGTACTAGTGAGGGGAGGCATTTTAAGGAAAACTGTTTTTCGATGTTTTATGACACATTCTGAATAGCAGAAACGACTGTAAGTGTTTATTTCTGACATCTTGAAATTCAGCTAGTCACAAATTGAGTGAGTTTGTGGCTAAAGAAGTCAAGGAGGTAGGACTCAGGTGTGTCTATGGACATTTATGGAGTAATGGGTAGTACTCTAACTTCACACTTGTGAAGACAGTCTGCAACCTACATTGAAAACTACCCCAAAAAAACTTGCATAAACTGTATCTAAAATTTATGAAGATATTTTATATATGCATTGACTATGCTTTAATATAAAAAAGAAGAATAAAATTGCTAAAGTTTAAGCATGTATGATGATAATGTGTGGAATATCACCACAATGGCAATACTAAAGTTCCTGACACCAGTTCCTTAACAAATCTGTCACAGATTTTCAGAAGAGTATATGCAGTGAGCACCATTACTGTTAAAGGAATATTTTTTTGAAGATTTCTTCCAAAAATAAAGTCCACAAAAGGATCTACATGTATCAGTTGAGTGCAATGTGTAAATAATTCTTTTGGAAATATGTGACCAAAAAACTGCTGATGTATCTGCAACCATTTTGCTTATCTTAGACACTTGTGACATAAAGAATGTTTACAAAGTTGTATCTTTTATGTAATTCAAAACTGAAAGAATTTTCTTAAATTTGATTATGTCTATTTAACCATCAATCCTGCAACAATTTGTAATATGTAATCTGTGAATGTGTAATTTTGTGTAAATGTAAATTAGAATTCTAAGAATAAAATTTCTAACCACATGCCCCCCATCATATTTGAAACATCGAAAGCTTGCACTAAAAGAGCAAGAAATTTTTTTGGTAAGTTTTAACAAGCATAAAAATTGAGATATATTGTAAAAAATCAAACCATGTAGTTGATTTAAGTGCTGACTAAGTGCCAGCTGACTAAGGACATTTTCAAACATATGATAAAACAACTAGAAGGTATAGTTTCTTGTGTTCTTCAGTATATATTCATCAACACATTACTATCACAAATCAACATAAACTACACCTGTTTTTATTTGATGGCAGATTTTCTCCGTGTAATAAAACCTTGAAGTATTCAGTCACTATCAGCACACTGCTGTTCAAGAATGCTAAATCCTCCAACACAATCACATGTATTCTCCTTCTGTTTGGATAGTTTAATATTTTATGTGATGTTGACAGTAAGAAACATAAGCCTCAACAGGCGAACTGTGTGCTCCTCTAAAGTAAAACACTATCTAAATACATCGCTGGAGACTGACAATGTTCTGTTACATATTCAGACACTACACAGGAAATTCTTTTCTCAACTTACGTTATCATATCAAGTAAATCCAATTACTGTAAGTTGGCCCAGGTCATTGTCATTTCTGTTCACACCGAGGGATTTATGTGCGAAGAAGGCCACATCCCCTTTTCCAAAGGCGACATAGAAATTGTTTATCAAGGGCAAAATTATACTTGACAATTGTCTAGCTGTGAATGGAGGAGTCTGTAGCCAAGATTTTCAATAGACTGGCAGCCAGGCCCTCACAAAAAGATGAACTAAGTTCACGTCAATAATAGTTTGAACTCTCCTGGCACAATCATTTTGGTAAAGATCTGGCAAGAAGGACAGGTACAATTACAGGCTGTAAAGCATACACAAGCACTATAGAATTGTCAGTTTTCTCAATTTTCTAGTATTTAGAAACTAGTTGAAAGTCTTTGAAGCTGGAGCTTTTAAAGGACACACTTACAAATCTAACAATCAATTGAACTTGCACAGTTTGAATGATATTTTACCAAAATTGAAAATTTAATTAAAAACTAGTATTTATGGAATTTAAACAACTTTTGAAAGGACCTTTGATATTAAGATTTTCTATATTAACAACATGACCAAAATATTTCCAAAATGAAACTTTGGTACATGTATATAAGATTGAATAAATTCCCCATATCAATATAGATCTACTGCTAATTTACTTTTTATTAATGTATTATATGCCTAACTATTGTATTAAATTGTGTGTAAAGCCAAAGCTAACATTACAAATCTGAAGAAAAAAAATAAATCAATTTTAAACTTATGTAGAAAGGATAACTGCATCATTATATTTTCCCAACCACAACACTGACTTCATCATGCTGACTTTATATATTTTACTTGTGTATTTGTACATTATGTTTAGCACTATCTTTGTGTACTAACAAGCTGTTTGAACTCAGGTTTCTTTGGAAATAAAAATATATTTAAACCAAATCTGAGAAAACACTTAATAACTGACCATGCTCTATGATTTGCTGTCAAGTTCCAGAAAGACATTTTGTAGTTAGTAATCAGTGAGACATTATATGTGTTCAGTGAGGGTGTCAGATTGTCACAACATACAAATATATTCTGGAACTCAATTCACTCCAGGATAACTGTAACCCCCAAACAACAATTGAGCGTACATCATAAAACAGCATGAGGTGGGTGTTGAAGCTAGCCTGCATGTCGCCAAACATGAAAGGTACATTGCCCTTAAAAGTATTAAAAGATAACCAGATTTTGTTTGAACGACTTAAATCAACTTTCATACATCTTGAAATGAAAATGTCGGAAAAAGACAAACACAGTTGAGATATGTCCTAGCTGTGATTTGTTTATGTTACATTGGTGTCAACAGTTACATAAAGAATGACCCTATCAAATGTCCACTAGTTCTGGTCAAGAGCTTACAAAGATACATTGTCTTTCATACAAACCTTCCCATGCTGCTCTTTCTGTCTTTTGTAAACCACAGTTCCTCTACAGCACAATTACTCCTTGACAGTTGAATACACAACCAATCAGGCCATGTCACTTCAATATCTGACCAATCACTGCCCTTCATTGTTCTCTGTCCACCCTTGAGAACATTCTTGTGAAAATATTTGTCCTCAACATGTCTGTACTTCAGAATGAGTTCCTTCAAGAGTAAGGTCATTGTCATGCAAGGGATCAAGAGTAGCATCTCCAAAGATGCTGGTAGAGTCTTCACCTGAGGCTAATGTCCAGTCACCTGTGCAAGGGCATATAAGGACCTATCATTGACTTTAGGATTACATACTGGTGATAAGACCTAACAATCTGTCAACTGTTGCAACATGCCTTAGGCTTGAGTAACCCAGAGGAACACAGAAAATGATCAACTGATCATTATACTATGAGAATGTTCATTTCATTTTGAGAGATAATTGATTGTATTGTATATTGATTAATCCTTATGGTTTGATGATTATTGCTGGTTATATATGAATAATTAAATCAGGGACATACGGGAAGTGATTTGGGTGATAGCATCAATGTAGATTATATAACTTGAACATGACAAATATCACATGTGCAATAGATTTATTTATAATCTGTGCAAATAAGAGTTAACTTTGATTATGTTGTAGATATTGTGTTAGAAATTAAAGTTACTTTCACACTTGGACTTGTTTTTCCATGCTTTGTTGGATCATTTCTTAATTTCTAGTTTGTTAAAATCTTATTGTGGAAAGTGATCAGCTGCTAGAAATTATCAATTTTAGGCGAATAGAAAATGTCAACCCCAGATAATAACCAGTTTCCGCTATAACAGATTACAATGGGTATAAAGGCAAACCCCTCACTACCTTGTATGATATAGCTGATATGTTGCAAACAATCACATACAACAACACTTGCTTAAATACTCATATATATATATAAAAAAGGCTCTTGATAACAAATTCAGAGCATAACGCAAAACTGCTGATTATATTTCTCTCCTTTGGCATCTTTTAAAATTCCAGCAAATTGAAAATTCTCTCCAGAAATGTGAACAT